ACATTAACACTGCACTGAGAGAGAGGGGTTAATACAGTACAGACACACTGACTGGACACTCCAGTACATTAACACTTCACTGAGAGAGTACAGACAGTGCCAGGCGCTCACCAGTGCAGTAGTTAGAGTTAGGGTTAGGGACAACAGTATGTAACTCCCAATTTCTGAACTTAGAATTAAGATCTAAGAAGCTGATCTTTCCAGGGGCTCACCAGCGCAGTAGTTGTAAGGGTTGACTTCAGCCCTATTACTGCTGACAGGGTTACTGACAGAGCAGGTGTAGGAGACAGTCAGATCCTCTATCTCAAGAAGGAGAGTCAGATTGGAGCTGGTAGAAGAGGAGCTGCGGTTCACAGGTTGGTCCTGTCCCTTTCTGTGCCAGAACAGGGTGACCTCTCTCCCGTTCTCCACTGAACACAGCAGAGAGCAGAGTGTGTTCTGAGCGGCCTGGACTCTTGGCGTTGACACAGGACCTGTACAGGAAGAGCAGTGGGGTCAGTAGAGGGCCCTAATCTGACAAACTGCATATAGAGAGAGGGAAACACAGTTTTACTGGAGTGGATCACAGTTAAAGAGCTGCTGCATAATGCACCCAAAAAGCAATGCTAAGGGTCTCAGCCAGGTGAATTGATGAGCTCATCAGAAAACTCAGAACCCAAGATGTATCCAGACATTAGAATTATTTTCATTTATTTTTCAGAGAAATGTGCTAGTCATATTAAATGTTGTTAATATTATAGTCGTTGTTAATGTTAAATATAATATTATTGCCACAATGGTGATTAAACCAAATATGTGGCTTTAAAGAGCAAAATAATTTGGCATTTGGCCTCTAAAGAGAGGTCATGTATCACTATTGAGGGCAATTAATTTTATTTTTGATTGGAGCACATGTGGTTTCCTATATGGGCTCCATTATAGCCATGACCACTTCTGCTTTCTGTCAGGTGTTCTAAGATTCTGCATCCTACTTTTAGGACTTTTAGGAAAGATAAAAGACATTGACAGTGATTGTACATAGTCAGAGACAATCTGATTGTACACTGTCAGAGACACTTTAACTGTATACTCTTGCAAATCTCAAGTTATATCTAATATATTTTTACAATTGCAAATCCTTACCGTAAACTAAGAGATTATATTTTGTTTCTGTCTTTGGTTCTTTATTGTTGACAGTGTATTCCCCACTATGTTCCTTGCTCAGGTTTATGATACAGAAGTGCCCAGTCTTGTCCCAGATGATTGTATCAGGAGCCAATACAAGCCTGTTATCCTTCACTTCTACAAGAGTTTCTTTTTTCTTGAAAAGGAACCCTTCCTTAGATACCCGTGCTGGAAAACAAACTGATTTTGTTTCAAGCTTTTTTATCTCTTGTATATCTTCAGAGCAGACACATGACAGAGAAAGACCTGAAAATTAAACAAAAAGATTATATTTAATACAATTTTAATGTACTTCAATTAAGGTTAGCACATTCCAAAACCGATCAAAATCTCTATCAGTGAGCTAACAGAGCTGTGGGAACAGTCTGAGCTTCTGGCCCAGCACTGATCAATATCTCTATCAATGAGCTAACAGAGCTGTGGGAACAGTTTGAGCTCCTGACCAACACTGATTAATATCTATAACCAGTTATTTTGTGTGAAAAACGTAACTGAAATGTATGTGGAAACTCTTTCTTACATGGGTGCACAGTATTTATAAGCAGAAAACTGACACAAATATACAAGCTATTTGTTTTTCCCATCATTCTCTTTTTTACAAACATGCATTATGGATAATGTACATGTTTCGTTTTCTTTCACCTGTCATTGTTCACCATTTGTCTGGTTCCCCATACAATATAAAGCAATAAAAGCTTACAGACTCGCCTTTCTTCTTCTGTCTCATTTGAATTCTGAGTTACTGTTGTCTGAAAGTTCTTATCTGATCTGTTGATAATGGACGACACCTAATGCTTAATGATAAAGGACATTTAATGTTAGATGGACAACATCTAACGTTAAAAATTCTTATTCTTGTAGAGAAATGCTGCTACACTTAAGATCAAGACCTGTAATGCCCCACCTTTGAAGCTGAGCTCTTACTCATCACTGGTCATCACTGATCCAGCCCGTACATCAAAGTTAGAATTAGAAATTCAATTAGAAAGAAGCTGGTGATGCTATCGGTTCCTACTTTTTGTTTCTTCATGGCTTAAAGCTAAATTAAATGTACATAGCTGTGTCTGAACTTTGTATTGGGAACAAAGTTCAAGCTTATTACATTATTCCTGATGGATATTAATTCCCCTTTCTAAGTCATTTTACTCTGTTACATGTTTAGAAATATAACCCGGATTTATAATGGAACCCTCTGCAGTGTATTTGATAGCTAGAAACACATGTGAAATACGGTCTAACTTACAGTCCCTAGCCCGACTCTATCCTATTAGGGTTTTCTTATAGGAACTCCCAGTTTAAGGCACTTTGACAAAGTTTATACTCTTATGGTCCTGAAACTCCATATTCACACTGTTCTTTTGGGGAAAATTCCCCTTAATATGTTGTTTAACATGTCGCAACTTTCTGATTCCTAATTGCAATGTATATCGGAGACCCCCTGCACATGAGGAGAGGGAGTGTAAAGGACTCATGAGCTGGGGAGCAGGCTGGTCTGGAGGGCTCACTCCGAAGAACACAAGACAACTTCTAATCAAGGACCCATTTGGCCTTTATTTGATCTGAGAATCTCCACTGGGAGGAACAGAAATGAAGATTCTGGTGCAAAAAGAGGGATGAACACGACATTGAGAGCAAGAGAGAGATGGACAGTGGAGGGGAGGAGGAGGAGAGACGGGCGCTGTTTGGTCGTGAGCAGTTCATTGACTTGAGTCCCTCAGTAATAAACTCATCTGCTGAGGAATGGTTACCTCTCATTTCGTTACCATTCTCATGAGCACTTACATGGCAGAGCTGTGTTTGCTAAGGCTCCTTCTCTACTTTACTCTGACGATTTTGAACCTACTTTATTCACTAAATAAACACACACAACAGGACAGGAGACACGGTGAGAGATAGAGGAGAGGACAGGGAATCCCTCAGTAATAAACACACACAACAGAACAGGAGACACAATGAGAGAGAGAGGAGGAGAGGACAGAGAATCCCTCAGTAATAAGCACACACAACAGAACAGGAGACACAGTGAGAGAGAGGAGAGGACTAGACTCTATCAGTAATACACACACACAACAGGACAGGAGACACAGTGAGAGAGAGTAGAAGACGAGACTCTATTAGTAATAAACACACACAGCAGGACAGGAGACACAGTGAGAGAGAGGAGAAGACAGCAATAAACACACACACTGCAGGGTGTCTGAGCTCCATTGTCTCTGTTGTTCCAAATTCAAGACTTCAAGAGCCTTTGTGTTTGCATTGAGAGGGCCAGCGTCCCTGTACGTCTCTGCGCTCTGCACTCAGCGAAGCTCTGGGAAAGCGGTCCTGCTGTGTGCGAATCTGCACACTGTGTGGAGGGTAGTGTGGTCTGGGTGGGGGTGGGGTGTGATGGTGGGTCTACATATACTGATGTGTCTGAGACGAGCTGAGAGATCTGCTCTGCGCACTGAGGAGAGATGGGCTGCCTCTGTCTCCTGCTCCTGACCCTGAGCCTGCTGGGTAAGTGAGCTCCTCTACCGCACCCACCCTTAACACACTGACAGCACATGGGAGCAGGGCCTCAGGCTGGCCTCCGGCACGAGGCTGCAGGTCCCTGTCGGAGAGGAGCCGGAGTCCTGGAGGAGCTGGACTCTCAGTGCTCTGCGGACACACAGCGCGGTCGGGACGGGGGGGTGAGGAGGAGGACAGGGATCATGGTGATGGAGCATTGCTGGATGTTTTGGAGTTTCTCTTGCTCCTACTCTGCACAAGCGAGCATGCTGGGTTGCAAGCTGTGCTAAAAGCTGTGAACGTCAAGCCTGCTCCTGTTAGAAAGAGTGCGCCGGGTGAGAGAGGGTGTCAGAGCTGTGGTCAGGATGTGAGTGTGGAGCACCAGCACAGCAGGAGTACTGGGGCCTCACGGATCACTTGACCACATGGTTAGAACAATTCAGTTTCTCGGTCTTCTACTTTTGTTATCTGTTCTATTGTCACACAGTAACTGTTACTACTGTAATTTTTCTAACATCAACATCTGTCCTATATAATATATCATATACTATAATATTTTTACTTTTATGATTAGCAAAGGAATTAACTTTTGATTGATGATGAACAGACAGGTGGAGAAAACACTGTATCGGACACACCCACAGAGGAGCGATCATGTATTGGACACACCCACAGAGGAGCGATCCTGTATCAGACACACCCACAGAGGAGCGATCCTGTATCAGACACACCCACAGAGGAGCGATCCTGTATCGGACACACCCACAGAGGAGTGACCCTGTATCAGACATCCCCACAGAAGAGTGACACTGTATCAGACACACCCACAGAGGAGCGATCCTGTATCGGACAAGCCCACAGAAGAGTGACCCTGTCTCTGACACACCCACAGAGGAATGACCCTGTATTGGACACGCCCACAGAAGAGTGACACTGTATCAGACACACCCATAGAGGAATGACCCTGTATCAGACACACCCACAGAGGAGTGACCCTGTATCGGACATCCCCACAGAAGATTGACACTGTATCA